GCTTTAAGCCTTCGCGGCTGATTTCATATGCATAAAAACTCATGAAGGCGCATAAACGTACAAAGACAGATACACTCTCATGCTTTGAGGTTGACATATAACTTGAACTAACCAAACCACTTGTACCTCATCAAAGAGCTTAGATATAGGGTATGTAAATGGCATTTAGGGATAAGCTGGCGAGTTTCCTTGACTCGTTAGCTTGAAGATTGTTGTAAGAATGGCACCCTGCTCGGATACTGTCCGTGATGCGACGGGCAAAAGCTTAGCAGGTTGTTATCGGAATCAAATAAGATCTCCTCAGAAACAGTGTCAGCATCTGGTCAAAGATGATTCGACATCGTTTTCTTGAGGGATCAAACTTCGAATCTTTTCACCAACGGCGTTCTCTCGAAATAGAAGTGAACTCCACAGTTATAAACCAAGAGAGTCCTAGAGACTCAACGTTTGCTTGCATATTATGGGAAAGTAGAATCAAGGCTAACAGCTATTCTTAGCTTAGTCTTAAGGCATCCTATTTAATTGCTAGGTGCCTAGACTACTACTTTAAATTGATTAAGAACTTCAGTCTCGGTATTCAGTTCATTCAGTATGTAGTAACTTCGTCGATTATGACGGCAAATATAATAGTCAACCTCACTGTAAAAATATGAATTGTGAGAGACCTGGCCTGGCCTGCCTTGAAAGTAAAATCTGCCCCTTGAACACCGGAAACTGTGGCTATGTGGAGGATTGAGGACTTGTTGCCATTTTAAAGCACGGCCATGACTCTAATCGCATTTTCGTATGTTGATGAGACGATGAGGCAAGTTTGAAGATACAGTGTAACTGGAGTGATAAAGTCTTTAGGGAGGCTAGGGTTGCTTATCTAATTATGGGAATGCTTATCTGATGGAAACAAATATGACTAAAGGTATGAAGACCAAGATGGTGTGGCCTTTTGTGTGGTCGCAGTCTCCTTTCGTTGTCTAGAAGTTGTTTGACTTTGCTTTCGCAACTCGGTCCTATTGGTAGGAAGACTTAGAGGATAACTGAAGTATGACTGAAGTTCTGGTTCTTAAACAATCCTTTTATATTTTAATTGTACTTAATATTAACGATATACTATGCAAATATAGTAAGACTTAGCAAAACTTTGAAACATACTGTTTTAATAATCTACTAATAGCTGCTTTGACATGGCCGACAAAGGTTCAGCACGGACTCACCGAAACTTGGGAAAGGTGGTTCGAAGGCTAGTACACTCGAATCAACAGTCACAACGCCAGGGTGATCTAACTTCGATTTCTGGTGAGACCAATTTCCGAATCCCCTTCCTTCACGGAATGAAAAGTACAAGAAACTAATAAATTTCACATGTATTTATCCTATTATCTTAAGATGAAGAATAACTGGTAGTTAAATTTACCCACATTGAATTTCACAAAGCCCTGCTTTCAAAAAGGATTTCTAATATTGACTGAACTGAACTGCAGTTTTGATCTCGCCTAGGTCTCATCAGCACCTTAGACGGACTCGAACTCTAGTAGTGCAGAGTATATTCTCAAAATGTAATTTACTACGCTACAACATCACTAGTGCCATGAGGTCACAGGGCAGATGCAAATTTTGAGGAAGGCCTGGTATTTTTCCATATTTCTCTATGTGGTGAGAATGACGATGAGGCTATATCAATCAACTAGATAACTTATTTTTCGTTAATAAGTAGGTTTTGTGGACTATCAGTTTATCATATATATATATTTATATGTATTCATCCTATTTAATTAAGGTGATAAATGATATGTATCTGAATTTTTCCACGATGATGTAAATAGACATAAAGTTTCCATTGAACGAGTTGTTCACCCTGCAGTCCACCCTGGACGAGGACAACTTTTGGAAAGCAAAGCTAAGTGAAATTTTCTTGAAACTTAAGCTTTACTCATACCATTGTGGGAAAGTTCAACTACCAGTCCTTCATCAACTTAAAGAAATATGGGAATATATCTCATATATTTGATATACTGGTAGTCTCAAAAAATATTTATTAATGAAAAATTAACAAATTGCTTAAATATTTGAAAATCTCATTCATATTTTCACATAACCGGAGTAACTGAGACAGAGAAATTGCAAAAGGATAAGGAAGATTATACAACATTATTATTTGTAAAGATAAATGAAGATTTTAAAATAAACT